GTGTATTTCTGCTAACTATTGGTGTTGACCCATCAAAGAACCTGTTGGACAAGTTGTGATAGCTTTGGCCAAATAAAGACACTTGATATGTATCATAAACCTAGACTGGTTATTGGTATGACTATCCAATTCCTTCTTTTATTCAACAAATATTTATTGAGTATTTGCTTTGGGCAATAGCACTGCTGGTGAGAATATGAAAATGAATAAGATACAGTCCTACTATGTCATGTGGGTAAGACATATACACAAATATCTATGAGAATAGATAACATTTATACAGCGCTCACCTTACTATGAGAACAAGCACTGTGTCAAGACCTTTATAGGTATTGATTCATTTAATCCTTCCAATAACACAGGTAGCTAAGTACTACTCCATTTGTTTCAGATGAGGCACCTAAGGCTCAGAAAGGGTTAATAATTTGCCCAAAGTTATTCATGTGGTAAGTGACAGAAATGCCTTATTCTGGAACTTGTGTGCTTGACCACTATGCTTCACTGATTCCTAATTCAAGACCTGGAAAAATTACTTAAACTCTCTTAGCATCAGTTGTCTCATTTGTAAAATTGGGATGATAAAGAATATAACCTACCTCATAGGTTGATGATTAAATGAGTTAATACATGTAAAGCATTGAAGTCAGTGCTTGAAACATAGCATGTGCACAATAAATTTTAGCCGCATTGTCATCATCATCATCATCTGTGGGGACAGGCAGAGAGGAATGGGCTGTAATAGGATTGTACTCTGAGGTTTCAGTGGCTGGACCCACAGGTTGAACGTTGGGTTGTAAATTGCCAGAGATAATCTCTTCTTTAGTTGATTTGGGAGCAAGGTGAGCTCTATGTAGAGAAGCCAAATGAAAGTCACTGAAGGGACTCCTTGCTCAGAAGGGTAGAGCTTAACATTTCCTTGGGCAGGGCATTGTCTCCCAAAGGCCCCCTTTAAAATGAATACCACACCTGAGAGGCATAACCACTATCATGCATTAACTGCCTGGATCAAGTGCATTCATCAGATTAGCCCCAGCAGAGATTGGTGCTTTTGGGGAAAAAGATAGTGAGAAGTTTTGATGGCTAGGAAGAAGGCAGGTGTGGACGGAGCAGGTCAAAGACAGAGCCATTCCTTCCTGATCAGTTCCAGGAGGCCAGAGGACACACCCAAAAGTGGTGGGAGGGGCAGGTCAGGAGGAGGAGAAAACTAACATTGGGCAACCACTGTGGGCCGGGGACTGTGCTACATTATCTCATTTAATTTCCCAACTATATTGTCTTGGTTTATTCCTGTTACTATAACAGAATACCTGAGATTGGGTAATTTATAAATAATATAAATTTATTTCTCATAGTCCTGGAGACTGGGAAGCCCAAGATCAAGGTTGTGGCAGGTTCTGTGTCTGGCGAGGGCCTACTCTCTGCTTCCTAGATGGCATCTTGAATGCTGCTTCCTTTGGAGGGGACAAACACTATGTCTTCACATGGCAGAAGGGATATAAGGGCAAAAAGGGCACTAGGGCCCTCCCTTTAATCTTTTATAAGAGCGCTAATTCATTCATAAGAGTAGAGCCCTCATGATTTAATCAATCCCCAAAGGTCCCTCTTCTTAATACCATCACTTCCAGTTATAAATTGGGGAAGGACACATACATTCAAACCATAGCACATAATAAGGTAGGTACCATTATTATCCTCATTTAGTAGATGAAGAAACAGAGCCTCAGAGAAGCTAAGTATAAAAACTGGCCCAAGGTCACAGAGCTAATGAATGGGATTGAGGAGCAGGGTTTGAATCCAGTTATGTGAAACTCCTGAAGCTGAGTTCTTTTAACAACTGCTCACTTAAAGCCACAGGACAGAGAGGTCAACAAGTTAATTGAACAGCAGCAGCTGGTGGTAATGACATAGGACACTAAACAGAACTGAATAGCTGGTGCATAGCACTAATGAGGGAAACAAGTTACAGGCTGGCTTCACATAGGTCGCCTATCTCATTTCTGTCCCCAACAATTCACTGAGTCCTACCCTTGCCCCCAGGACTGTCCTTCACCTTGACTGAAAACTGAGTCTTGCCCCTGACTACAGGTCTGAGCCCCCAGTGCAGCGATGCTTCAATGCTTCAATGTCACAGCTGCTTGCTGCCTCAGGGCAGGAGAGTGTGGAGGCTTTCCTGTACCTCCTCCCCACCGCCAGAGACATACCTTAAAACATTTATTCTGCTGATATTAATTCAACAGTATCTTCCTGAACAAAAGACAGTACAGAGTTTTGCCAACAGTTATTTATTTATTTGACAAGCAGTTGGGGAATATATCATTCCTGTGACCTTAAAGTCTGGCAGGGGGAGTCGGATATAAAAAACTGGTCATTTCCATATAATATTGAGAGATATGGGAGCCTACAAGGGGTTCTGAGTGAGCAGTGATTGCATTCCTTGCCTTATCAGCCTTGATTCCAGAATGGACGCAGTGGTGGGCATCTCTGCAGAATGACAGAAGGCCCCCAGAGCATGGCGTGCAAATGCAAAGGTGTTCCCAAGGTACCGTGAGAGTTACTACCAATGAAAGGTACAGCCATGGCTGTTACGTACGGAGAGGGCAAAGTCACCATGGGAGAGAGTGGCCTGAGAAAGAAGGAAGATGAAACCTTGGATCTGGGACTACAAAAATGGATGCAATTTGGTTAAGTGGAAAGAAGCACTAGATTTTGAAAAGTGTTCAGCTCTTGAAATCTTACCTTAAATGCATGCCTTCAATTTATTGTTGCTTGGCTTGAATTTGTATTGGTTTGCTTTTGTGGTTTTTTTCCCCCCTTACCTTGTGCATTTTGAAGACTAGGTAAGGTGGGGAAAAGGATTATAGAAAAAGGAAGAATGAATGAGTGCTCTAGCCAGTAGAACTTTCTGTGATGACTGAAAGGTTCTATTCTGTTCTGCCCAATATAGTAGCCACTAGCCATATGTGGCTACTGAGCAATTGAAATGTGGCCAGTGTGACTGAGGAACTGAATTTTAAACTTCATTTGAAATGTGGTTAGTAGATACTGTATTGGAAGGCACTAAATACTGTAACTACTTAGTAAGAACCTATATACACTGTAGCAAAGGTACAATTAAAAACGAAGGCTTCTGTTAACCTACTTATGGGGAACATTTATTTGGGTGTGCATGGGCTTGCCCAATCAGGGGTTGGAGCACCAAGGTTCTTAAAAACAACCCTGCAAGAACTTATTCCCAATTTGCACAGTACCTTCAGATACAGTATCTCATTTAATCTCTTAAAGAAGGTAGAACAGAGATTATCACCTCCACGAGACCCAGTAAATTCAGGTGACAATGGCAAGGCCCTATAGCAGATGAGGGTGGAGTCTAGAGGCTATGTGTTTCTTCTCTTGGTTGGAACATTCTTTCCAGGGGGTAGCCAAGGGAGAAGGATCTCATGCTACCCTTGCCTGTCACTCACAGCCTGGGTCCTGTGGATGAAGAGAGGTGCTTTGCTTCATATGCCCTTTCCTGCTTGACTGTGGCTAATGGGGCCATAGGCTATTCATGAGAGCCCTATCTTGTCCCCTTCCCGCTACCTCGATTTTGGCAGTAGGGCTGTTTTTGAAAATTTCATTCATGTAATTATGTATTGAGCTCTAATCATGTCCTAGGCAGTGTTCTAGGTCTGAGGACACAGCCTTGAACAAAGCAAAGATCCCTCTCTCGTGGAGGTGACAATTCTGGTGGAGGGAGACTAATACATACAGTGTATATATGCTGAATTTTTATAACATTTCAAAAACATTTTAAATATACCATGGTCTCTCATGCCTTTTATGGCACATATAAACACCATCCAATGTATCTTCTGTGTAAATCCGGACTTAACATTTCAAGCGAACTGCCTGGTTTGCTGAAAGGTAGAAACACCTTTTGATTTAGTCTTTTAACATGTGTTGAGTGCCACCTATGTGCAGAGCAGGATATTGGGGACTTTGGAGAGATCCAGAATGAGAAGACAGGGTCCTTATCTTAGGGGATTCCCAGTCTGATGCAGGAAGAACCCCCATTCCTTGGGAGCTCCTAGGCTGTAGAAGGAGTTAACATTCTAGTTTGGAAAGGCAAACAACTTTAGGACCTCCTTATGAAGGGGAATCCCAAGTACGTGCAAAACCAATCCAGCCTAGACTGCTGGAGTTAGGTAAATTAACGATGGGGAACTAGAAAGGAGACAGACACCCTAGGAGCTGTGGCGTGTCCCAACGGTTAGGAGGAGCTGAAGGGCAGCCCCTCCTAGATTATTGTTATCCTGGGAAGGCCTCTGGGTGAGATGGGATTTGAGGTGTTGCTGCAAGAATGAAGAGCTCATGGAAGGGCGGGGTGGGGTGGGGGTATTCCAGGTAGAGGGTGCCTCCTGGGGGAGGGTAGGAGAAACAGGGTGCTGGGCAATTAATCAAGCCTTGGGCACAGCCTAGGCAGTCACCCCAATTCAAACCCAGTTGAAGACACAGAGGAGAGAGGAGGGCTGGTGTGTGGGGGTCTTGACCAAACCCTTGTTGCTGAGGAGTGGCAAGGGGAAGGACCAGGGCTAGGGTCAGAAGTGGAGGAGATGAGACGGGGCAGCCTGGACTGGGTCCTTCCCTGAGCGCCCAGGTTTCCTGACAGCTGTTAAGGAAGCGAGGTGAGAAAGGGTTAAGTGTGCCCCTCCACCGCCCCAAATGCTTCCTGTGTTTGAAATCCTTCAGGTCTCTGCAAACCCTCTGGCTCTTGGCCAGGCGGGCATTGTCCGGGGAGCAGTTGTGGGTTGTCCGAGAGGCAGCGCAGCCTTTGTTGTGGGGCCACCTCGGGGTTCCTCTCGCGCCCTGGCTGGGGCTGCAGAGTGCGTGCCGGGAGGGGGGCGGTGCGGGAGGCGCTCTCCCTCTCTCTCTTCCTGCCCCCCTCCAACCCCCCCCCTCGATGACCACATGACCAAGTGGGCTCGCGGCCAAGCCACAAGCTACAAAATGCAGCCCTTGGAGTGAGCGGGGAGCTTTCTCGCTGGCAGCCAGGGCCTCGGGCAGTTGGAGCCGCGGCTGAGTAGCCAGTCGCTCAGAAAGAGCTCGCCGCTGCCGCCCCGGAGCCGCCGAGGCCAGCTTCGCGGCGCTGCCCCGCGGCGGGAGAGGGAGGCTGCAGGAGAGCGGAGGCGGCTAGCGGGCGCGGCGGCCGGCAGCCTGCTGCAGGGCTCGGGCGCGCACACTCAAGCGGCCCGGGAGCCACGCGAGCTCCGCGCCCGCACGCGCCGGCTGCGGCTCGCGCCTCGCTGTGCCTCCGGGCGCCGGGCCTCTCCGCCCTTCCGCAGGCTCGCCGGGGCCCGCGGCCAGAGGAGCAGCATGAATCTGCGGCTCTGCGTGCAGGCGCTCCTGCTGCTCTGGCTCTCCTTGACCGCGGTGTGTGGAGGTGAGTGCGCGCCTCCCTCCTGCTAGCCCGCGCTCCCTCGCGGCTCCCCGGCTGCAGCCGGCGCGCTCCCCGCCCTCCGCCCCACGCGCGCCCCGCCCGCCTCGCCCGCCTCCCGGGGAGCCCGGCGCGAGCCGCGCAGCAGCAGCCACGCGCCGCCGCGCCAGGCGGCCGATTGACAGGGCGCCCCGGGTCAGTGGGCGGCCGGCCACGGGGACGTTTCTTCTGGGGGGCTCGGCGCTGCTTCGGGCATCACTTGTCTGGCGCCTTGCCCGTCCTGACCGCCCCTCGCAGTCCGTGGAGCTCCGGGCCACAGACGTGTGCTATGTGTCCCGCGCCCCGCACCCCACGTGGTGGGGGTGTGTAGAGAGGGACATGCCCGCTCCCCTCATGGGTCGATGGAGGGAACTGACTGGGGCAGGGTGGGCTGGGCTCCCACGTTGAAGATCTGCTGTCTCCTGGAGGTTAGGGGCTGCCGGTCGGTCCAGGAGCGCAGGCCACTGGGGTGATGTGCCAATATGCAGACGTGACACTTGTTGCATAGGCAGGAGCGCGGTGAAGGGCAGAGGCGGCGTGGAGCACAGCGTTTGCTACTTTCAGCTTGCGTGTGAGCAGAGCAGAGGCAGCTTCCCCCAGGCAGGGCTGGCCGGGCCAGGCAAAGCCAGGCTGGGCTGGTCTTCTCCTCCCTTACCCCAAGGTCCTGGCTGCTCTCCTCCCCTGCACAGGACGCCCTCCCCATTGCATCCATCCATTTCTGGGGACCTGGGTCTCCCATATCCTGGCTTCAGCCTCCCCCTCTCCTCTGTGCCAGGCACGGGCATGCTTCACCTTAGTCCCCCTGTCTTCACACACCAGAGGAGGAAACACAGCACCTGACCTGACCTCTCCATGGAGCTCAGGGAAGGGGAGTCCTTTCACCCCACCTGCACCACACCCCCCACCTGGCAATGCTTGGCACCAGTGCTCCCTTGCCCGCCCAAACCTGGTCCCCACCAACTCCCCAGCAGCCCCATCCGGGGCTGCCTGTCCTCCATGCGTCAGTGTCTCCTGGGGCTGCCAGCTCCCACCTCCAGCTGCCACAGTCCTGTGATCTGGCTGTCATTGCTGCGCCTGGCACCACAGAAGGGGAAGGCTGAGACCAGGTGGACTAATGCCAGTGCCAGAGCTGGAGTCACAGGGAGGTGAGAGCAGAGAGAAGGAGAGGGCAGGGCAGCAAGTTCCTAGAGGAAGGGCAGAGGGCCCTACTTGATTCCAAACCCTCCAGAACAGGAGGATGGCATGCAGCCCAGGAGCCTCCAAGGGGCCTGGCCAGTTCTGCCTGCCTCTTTGTAGGCCACCTCCTTTTTCTGCTCTTGCTTTTCGGACCTGCTCTGGCCCTGGGAGCACCACCTGCCTTCTGAGGAAGGCGCGTTGGTTGGGTCTGGCACCTCCTGCCTCCAGGTGGCTGTCAGTGGTCTCCCTCTTCAAGACTCCCTTGGTGAGAAGGAAGGAGGCTTGTTCCTTAGAAACTCCTGTCAGGCAGGCCATGGAGAGAATGGAGCAAAAGATACAAATGAAAGACACCACACGGGCCTGCCCTCCAGAAGCCTACCATCTGGCGTAGCTGGCAAGACAAAACACTCACGTGATACCACCACAGGCAGATAGTCCAAGTGGTGCCTTCAGGGAAGAAAAAGAGTGGGTGCAGAGAGGGTGTCCCAGAGGAAGGTGGGGCTTCTGGATCTGCCTTCCAGAAGCTATGGGGAGACCCGGGACCAACAGACCACCACTCGAACCCTCTTGGGGTCGAGCTGTTGGGGCAATATTGGTAAAAAAGATAACTGGTTTTAAGGGAAGGGAAGTTGGCCAGGCTATGGGAGCACCATGTGTGTCTGGCCCAGAGCTTGTCACTTCTTGCTTTAATTCACCTTTCTTCATTAGGTCATCTGCACACCCTGGTTTTGGTAAATTCATTGCCCTCATATTTTGCTTAAGCCTAGTACTGGAAACTTCTGAGGCTTCTACTACCTTCTCCACCCCCTGACCTCTCCTGGAGCCTGGAGGTGGCCACCAGCCAAGGGTCCAGGTACACGTCCTATTCCTCTTGCGTCCTGTCCTGTGTTAAAAACAGGGATCGCAGAACTATCTTGTCCTCGGCCCAGACTTGCATGCTGTCCCCAGCCAGAGTCCCCAGTCAAAGTTCTGGGCCTGAAAACCATGCTTCCTCCTCTCCACACTCTGTTCTGACTTGGAATGTCCACCCCCTCTCTCCCTCCTCTCGACCACACACACTCCTCCACTGCCTCCTGACCTCGGATACACTTTGCTCTTCTGGGTCTGAGAGCTCCTGGGCCAGGGCCAAGTGTCCCTTGGTCTTTGTCTAAGCACCTCTCTTTCTCCCCTCCTCCTCCCCGTCCCCAGCCCCAGCTCCAAGTGTGCAGTTGTGCAGTCGCAGTGGCAGTGTCAGGACAGTCTACTGTAGCTGCCATACTCAGGGAGGGGGCATCTCCTCTCCATCCTCAGTCCTAAACACTAAGCACCCATGTAACCTGAGCCAGGCCTTCGCTAATGCAAGTGAAGCGGAGGGCCAGGCTGCCAGACCACTATGTGTCCGAGGGCAACAGAGCTGGCACTCGGAGATAGCACAGGGCACTGGAGAAGGCAGCTGGAGTGGGAAGCTGGGCAAAGAGATACGTGCAGGACCACAGAGCAGTGGAAGGGCATTGCCAGCAGGTTCCCCACCAGAACACCCGTATGGGCTTTTAAAGAAATCACAAGACAGGCCAGCTCATGAGAGGATAAAACAGGTGCGTCATTCCTGGCGAGGCTGGCACGTTCCTGAAAAGTCACACGTACCTCTTTGTGCATCGGCAGAGTTGGCATTCAGGTTGCATGAAAGTCCAATCCTGTCCTCTCCCTGACTGCGGTTCTCAGTGTGGAGATGCTGTAGCTTCATTGCTGATGGCGCTTCAGCAAGCGATAGCTCCAGTCCCTCTAGGTGTGACATTCTTTGGGGGATGGCTCCATTCTCCTTTTAAGTAGCGAATGAATTGGAAGAAGCTATTTAAGTGCATTAGAGATGGCTCCCATTTCTAAACGGGAATTCTTTTGTACAGAGATGAGAATCAACAGCTTCTAATTTGTCCCTTTGGACAGGATAAAGCCAGGGTTTCAGGTGTCAGCTTATCTGACTGTGAGCCAGACCCAGTATCAAAAGTAGGAAACAGGTGGGCAATGGGCTCTCAGTGCGGGAGGTGTCTGCAGACTTTGGGTGACATAGAGGACAATGAGCCCTCCACCCAATGGGAGAGATGCAAGAGGCCAGGGGCTGCTGGGTGGCTGCTCTCCAGGGCCTGGCTGAGTGCTCAGTCAGCTCACGGTAGCTCTTCTCTGCAGGTCTAGGGTCTAGACATCTTCCTGGCCAGAGTCAGAGCCACCATTCCCGCTTCGCATCCTGTCCCATTCCCAGCTTGGCCTCCTGCCCCTTAGGGCCTTTTTCCCCAGCGCTCCCTTCCTGACTGCCACACTCACAGTCTCAGGTGCTGAGCACATGGAGATGACACCCTCCCCCTGTTGGCACCGTGCCTCTCTTCTCCATGCCCACTGGGCCCCTGGGGTACAATGGCCTGTGCCATTCCATTTCCCCATCCCTTACCCCCTCCCAATAGTTGAAGGCATGGAAGCGAGACATGAGGCTTCACTCGGTTGGTTCACTTCACAAGGTCCCTTGAGTCCTTTCCCTGTGCCTGGCTGCACCCTCAGCACAGTCCTTACTGTCCTCCCACCCCCTGTGATCGGTGTGGACTCCTTAGTAGCATCTACCCTTAGTGGGGAGGGTGAGCCTTGAGGGGACCCCAAGACTCAGGCCAGAAGCTGAAGCTGCTGAGGTGGGGGGCTTAGTGAAGGTTTTTCCCTCCTCTCCCTCCCCAGCCGCCGCCCCCTCACAGATGGCACCAAGAGGGTAGCTCTATGACAGTCAGACAAAAGCAGCCCGCTTGTCCATGCATACCTACTGCTCCAAAGTGCTAATGTAATTTTTCTTTTCATTCTCATAGGTTATAGGTTTAGGGGATGAATTGACATGTTGATCCACCCTGACTATTAGCATGGAAGTGTGAACAGTGAAGCAAATGACCCCAGTGAACAGCAGGCAGGGCCTTCATAGGCTGGTGATTTTCCTGGGGAAGAAGGGGAGGGGGGCGAGGGTTAGAGAGGATGCCTGTGCCGGTGGGGTGGGTGTGTCTGGGTGTGAGTGAGGAGAGCAGCAGGCTGGGAGCCTGGGCGAAAGAGGGCCCTAAGGACAAACCCCGCCAACCTTTGGCCCAAGAGGAGGCTAAATGCCTGGAAATTGTGTGCAAGCGGAGGAGGACTCACACGAGCCAGGCGCCAAGGAAGGAACCAGAGCATGGGGATGTTGGAGGCAGGGGAGGAGGGAAGGAGGAGCTGCCAGGAAGGAGTATGACTGAGGGGCGGGCAGCCAACAGGAGACTATATGGAAACTCTGAGCTAGTGGTGGGGATTCCTGGATGGATGGCAATGGGGCTCAAGGGACAGGGATGCACTGAAGGCCAATCTGATGGTGTGGGTGGGGGAGAGACTGGTATTCATTATCACTGGCCTCAGACACCGTATTTGTGCAGGCCAGCCCTGTGCTGGGCATTGCACAAGCACCCCGCCCGACCACCTCTTCCCCAGCACCGTCTCGTCTCTCTGCACTGCCTGCCGCTGGCCAGGCTTATCTGGGGGGAGGAGGCAGCTCAGCTTCTCTGGCTGGACTGCTCCACTCCAGCCTGCATACCTTCCCCCTCATTGCACCCAAGAGCACCCAGCAGCACTTGGATTCTGTTGTCAGGGCTTAGTCTGGCATCAGGAATCTTCTACTCTAAGCCAGATGTGGATAGATGTAGAGAGGAGCCCCAGAGTGCAGAATAGAAGCCAGGTGGGGTTGGAATGGGAGGAATTTACATCAGACACAGGATGGGGAGTGTGAGCTGGGAATAACAGGACATAGGGCATTGGTGGGAGGTGCCCACTTTAGCAGCGCAGCCCCCTCCTGGTGCACAGGTGACCATTGTCTCATTCATCCATTCATTCATTCATCCATGCAGTATTTCCTGGGCTCTAAATCTGGTCATGGGCTGAGTAGAGCCCAGTATGAGGCACACTGAGTCAGAAACAGCTCCCACCCCCCACCTAGCAACATCCACAGGGAGGACTTGGGAGCATGAGTGAGCCTAACCATGATGCCTGACCACCTATGAGATGCCCAGGGGTGAGACACGAGGTCTCTAGTACTCAAAAGTAGGTCACCCTGCATATTGAAGGGTGTAGGAGTACAATGGGATGATGCTCATCATTTGCTTTAAAATACTGCAGCCAAGAAAAAAAAAATGGGTAACTAAAACGTATGTGACTCCATCTGGATGGTTGTTGAATTTGGATGATGGGTACATTGGGGGCAGTCATTGTAATGTCATATGTCTGAAATGTTTGAAGTGTACCATTTTCAGGGGTGCTATAGGGGGTCCTGCCTCCTGCATCCCAGCCAAGTACAGGCATGATGTCCCAAAGTGCAACCACTCAATGACGTTCCAAAAGAAAGAACACATTTGTGCCTGTTAGAAACATGATTTAACTGTCAAAAGGACATAGAATCAGCTTCATCAATGGCAAGATGTGAGTCGTGGGTTCTGTTTGCCCCGGGATAGTGTACAAATTGTAGATTTTTCAAGATGGAAAAGAAAAACAAAAGGAGAGCTATGAGGAGTGCCACCTCATGGAGAGTTGCCCCTGGGTGGGGCCTGTGCTCTGAGGCCCTGCCTGTTTTCATCAGCCTTCTCCACTAACAGACTTTCTCCTTCCTGCAGGGCCCCTGATGCAGCCTCCTGAGGGGAAGGGGCTGGAGGAAGGCAAAGTCCGCCACCTGGTGCAGCCCAGAGCCTCAAGGAATGGACCAGGGCCTTGGCAGGGAGGTCGGAGGAAATTCCGCCGCCAGCGGCCACGCCTCTCCCATAAGGGCCCCATGCCTTTCTGAAGCAGGTACTTGAGCCTCTGGTCAGTGGGCAGCGCCAAAAGGGAGGGGAAGGGACAGCCTGGAAGCTGGGTGGCCCTGTCACTCATCACTGGTCAAACACATCTACCAAGCAGTCCTAGCACCATACAGGCATAGGGGCTGGGAACTGGCATGGAGCTTCTGGAATAGCTGTATCACCCTTTCATTGTACAGAAGGGGAGACTGAGGTCTAGAGAGGGGCTAGATGCTTGAGACCAATCTCCCGACTCCCCAAGAGTTGGGTGCTGGCTCCTCTCCACCTGCTGCCTGGGGTTGGGCAGGCTGGCCCGGTTGGAGAATTCTAGAATCCTGGCAGGCTTTGATGACTGGGATGCCCAGGGCAAGCCTACACGTGTCCGGTGTGAGTCGTCACCAGAGAGGGGGGAGGAGGCAGAGAGCCTTGCAGGGTTTGGGACAGAGAGCAGGAGGACAGTTGTGGCTGAGGTTGCCAGGGCCGTGGGAAGCGGGGAAGAATCCAGGCAGCTGCAGAGAGAGCAGGGCCTAAGCCTGCCCCTGAGGCCCGGCCTGCTGTCTCTCCCACTGCAGCAGGGACAGGGTGGCCCCAACCCAGGGACTGGGGCTTTACATTCAGGGCTGGGCCGTGGGGAGATGAAAGCTGTCTCCTCTCCTTTCCTGGTGGGTTCTTCTGGCCTAGACCACACCAGTGACTTCTCTCTTGTTGTTTTTGTCTCTTTAGGACTGAAGGGGCCCCTGAGTGCCCACGCACTGCAGCTCTCTGTGCTCCATGCCTTGGTCTGCTTCTCCGGAGCCCTCATATCCATTCAGCTTTCGTCTCACACCTGTTCTAGCTGCTGATGGTCCCAGCTCTTCTCACCCACCAGCTCCCCAAATGGCGCCCACAATTCCCTTTCCCCAGGATCCATCCAGCCCATCTTCTTGGCCCCTCCCGGATTGACCCGGGAGACCCAGCCCTGGAAGCCCTTCCTTCTCCTCCTCCGCCCTGCGCTCTAGTCCCTGCCTCTCCCATCTAACTCCCCAACCTTGTGTGTTCCCCCCGGGGCCAGGTGGAAATGCTCTGGTCCTCAGTGGTCAGTGGGCTCTAGCAGCCCATGTTTTCTTGTCAGCTGGACCTCTGGCCCGGCTTCCAGAGAAGAATACAGACATGCGCAGTGACAGGCGCTCTAGCTGGAGGGGTTGGGTGCTGGGATCCAGGTGCACTGAAATGGGGGGAGGGCGGAGGGGCGGCACCCTGGAGAAGGGGGTGGAAGCACTTCTTCCTCCTCCTGGTGTTTGAGCTCAGCTAAGGAGGAGGTGAAGGAAAGGGGCCCATGAAGTACTTTGTCACTTGTCTCACCTCCTGTGCCTCCTAACACTCCCTATCCGCCCCCTCCCCCCAAGCCAAGTCAAGCTCTAGGTCAGGAGGGGAGGGTGCCAGGCCCGACACAGCTCTATACCCTCCCAGGAGTAAAAACCAAACAGGAAAGTTGTTGATGCCAAGAATGACAGAATATCAGAGCCCAAAGGACCCTAGGAGATCAGCCACCTTATGCAAACGCCTGCAAAAACAGGCCTGGAGAGGGGAGTGACCTGCTCAGGGTTATTGCAGAACCAGGATGGGGACGGAGTCTCCCAGCTTTATGATGTCCTCTCCACTCTCGATGATGTCTTTTCAAAACAAATGAAGTGCCTTTTCCTGAGGTTGGGGCTGGGGGCGGCTGGGATGGGGAGAGAGAGGCAAGCTGGCTGTGAACTGCCCTGTTGTGGGGGACGGAGCTGCTCCCACCTCCCTCGCCTTCCCCAGCTGGGCCAAAAGCTTCCAGAATTGGCCAGCTGCCCCCATTCGGGCAGCATTCCCAGCCTGGGGTACTGTAATAGGGGCCGCTCAAGCACTGAGACTATCATTCAAACCCCAACAGTGTTTTTCTGTGAGCCAAAGGTAGCCTTAACTCTTGAGGTCAATAGCCTTCCCTTCCTGTTAACTGGACCTTCTTCCCTGTGGTCTTTCCTTGGGGGAGGGAGGGGGCAGATAGCGGAGAAGAGGGAAGGAAAGGAAAGGAAGGGAAGGAAGGAGGAAAAGATGGGAGGAAGCGCAGGTGGGATAGCCCCCCAGGAGACCCCAGCTTCCATGAGGGGCCTACAGCAGCCCTTCCCTGCATGGGGGCTCTGTCACTCACCTTTCTCCTGAGCAGGTTTCCTTCTTAGAGGCCTCCCAGGAGGCAGAAAAGAGAATACAAGAGCCTGATGCCCCGCTATGTATGTGTGGGGGCAGGGGGAGTGAGGGTCCCCCAAGTCCCACAGTAACCCCAATGTCTACCTGTCCTCCTCCCCTGAGTCCTTTCCCTCTGCTGCTGCTAACACTGCTGCTGCTTCAAGGCCCGCCCTGGGGAGCCAGGCTGGACACCAGCCTCTCCCACACCCCTCATGCTTGGAGTGGGGACTGGCCAATGTCCAGAAAGTGTCTTCTGCCACTGATGCCCCCACCAGGGACTGGGCTTTTCTTCCCCCTCCTTTCTGCGTCTCCTTTCTCATCAGCCTGCAGCCAAGCCCAGCCCCATGGGGAGGAGGAGAAAGCGGGGTGGCTGAGGAAGTGGGAGATACGGGGCAGAGGAGGGTAGTGGGTGGGCCGAGGGGGGACTGTCTTATTTAAAGTGGTTGTGTATGATTCTTATACTAATTTATACAAAGATATTAAGGCCCTTTTCATTAAGAAATTGTCCCCTTCCCATAATTGTATTCATTGTGTTTGTAAAGATTATTCTGTGTAAATATGTCTTTGTAATAAACAGTTAAAAGCTGACAATTCGCCCTTACTCTTGGAGGTCATGTTCAGGAGGAGTGTTCCTTTCCCCTGAGAGCCACAGTTGTCCCCATGCCCACATATTGCAGGGAGGTAAGTGCCTGCATCCCAAATCAGTTCTAAGTCAACTGGCCTCAAACTGATTTGCCATAAGCTCACAAAAGGAATCCCTATGTTCACATAAAATCCAGCTCACTCTTAAGTTTTTTTGCCGTCTGTTTGGGTGTCCTAATATATATATATATATATTTTTTTTTTTTGGCAATGTCATTTAAAGGATTTTTAAAAAAAGCAATTTATTGAAAAACATGCTGATTAAATGGAGCTCTACTAAAGATTGTTTTGTATCCTTGGTGGGTGTCTTCTTCTTTTTTACCTACTTTTGAACACTTTCAGGACTTTTTAGCCAGTTTGCCTTTCTTGAAAAATGTTATGTTTTCAGCAATAAATACAGTTGGTAATGACTTTGTATGTATCATTTTATATTTTACAAAGTGGAGTTGCTTGATAAATGAGATCACCTGAAAAATAAAATTCAAGGAGTTCAATACAATTCTGCCCCATCTGTCTCACTTCTTGCTTGTTGTCAAAATGCCAATATCTTGCAGAACAGAAAGGAACACTGGGTATATGCTAATTTGGCTAATAAACCCATTAGGTGCACATAGGCATACACAATGCAGAGCAAAACCCAGTGAGAAGGAGACAGGAGTGATCAAAATGGGTGCATTTGATAAATCTTGTGGGAAATTCTATAGATTTGACATGTATTTAGTGCTAGAAATAGACAATTTTAAAGAACAGGTTTTTAGACAAACTTGCTAAAAAGTCATAAAACTGCTCACTAGGAGATAAAATAGAAAAAGTCACCCACAAGCATAGAAAACAATCTCACCATTGACAGAATGCTGCAAATTGTGACATAGTGATTTAAAAACGCAACGTTGCATTGGAAATTCCTCTTAGGAAAATTTGTGCAAAATGCCTTATTTTAAAATTACTAGTTTGACTTTTAGGCAAGCTGGTCATCAGAGGAACTGGTTTTAGGCAGAGGTTTCGGGCAAGTTGGCTTTATGCTGATTGGTCTGTTACCTCCCTAATCACACCCAAAGTTCTAATTTCACATGAAACCAAGGAGAAGGGCTTGGGAGGGGCAGGACAACTTAATACTGATCCATAGATGTGCAGCCCTTTAACTGTTTTCAGAGCTCTCCAAAAATATTCACTCAGTTTATCACTCTTACAACTGGATCACACAGACCATTGTCCCTATTTTTACAATCAGGTCACACAGGCCACTGTCCCCATTTTACATGAGAAAACAGACTTAGAGAAGTGAAGTGACTTGCCCCAAATCTCTTTGCTAGTAAGTGATTCTGGAATCTGATCTTCAAATTCTAGAATACAAACTCTTTCTACAGTACTACGGAAGGTCCCCTAGCTAGAGAGAAGGATTAAGTACAAAATGTGTTTGGTATTTTCAGTAAGTGCAATGGGAATTTGGAGTACAAAACGGCGTGGTGTGAACTGGTGAGGTCGGGGAAGGCTAGTGGAGGCTGAGTGATTAAAATCGGTCCTGGAAGGCCCAATAGCTTTTGCTTAAGAAGACCAGAGGATGAGGCCACCAGGGTCCACAGGGCATATGCAGTCAACTGGATGCTAGTGGGTGGATGTAAGTGTGACCTCCTCGAGGCAGGGGATGAGGGGAAGGAAAGCTGGTGGCCACCCTCTGGAGATATCTTGACTTGATCAAGTAAATATGATAGAGTCAGAGTAGGGGGGCTGTTTTTCAAAATGCAGAGCTTTAGAAAAAGAAAAAGGGCCGGGAGTAGTGATTCATGCCTATACTCCTAGCACTCTGGGAGGCCAAGGCGGGAGGATTGTTTGAGTTCAGGAGTTCGAGACCAGCCCGAGCAAGAGCGAGACCCTGTCTCTACTAATAATAGAAAGAAATTAGCCAAACAAGTAAAAATAGAAAAAAATTAGCCGGGCATAGTGGCGCATGCCTGTAGTCCCAGCTACTCAGGAGGCTGAGGCAGGAGGATTGCTTGAGCCCAGGAGTTTGAGGTTGTTGTGAGCTAGGCTGATACCACAGCACTCTAGCCCAGGCAACACAGTGAGACTCTGTCTCAAAAAAAAAAAAAAAAAAAAAGACAAAGAAAAAGGAGTTCACTTAACTGTTCCTGAACAGGAGGTCCTGGATGGTAAAGCTGAAGGGTGGGGGGCAGAGAACCTGAAAAACAACACTCCTTCAAACCCATCTGGAAGTTAGGCAGACTCCAAAATGAGATTAGCGAGGCAAACGGACTCAGACCACACAGGCTTTTCACAAGGTCCCCAGCCAGGTGTGGTGTAAAATGAGCCAGAGTTGCTTTGAAACCTAACATTTCAGACTCTTCCATAAGCCCTGGCTGACTTGGCACCCCCAACTGGGACTGTGCTCCTCCGCTGCTCGGGGAACCATAAGGCCTGGCCTAAGCGGCCATTCTGAGGTCCTTATATAATTCTATTTTTCAGGCCCAAAGGTTATTTGACTGAAATTTCTCAATCCAAAGTTTCTTTCTGACCAGAGTGACCCTGTGCCAGCTAACTGCCAAAGGAGACTGCAGAGATCTACTTAATACCTTCCTCTCCTGCCTTGAGAAAGGCCACTGACTCAGCCAGCATTTCTCTGGAATCCACAAAAGGATGGCCTCTTTAGGCTTCCTTTCATAAGCCAGTTTCCCCTACATAGTGGCCAGTGCTTAGAGAGGGAGCCCAGCAAGGGACTCCCTTTGCTGCTGTCTTGGACTTCAGCCAGAGGCCAGAGCAGCAGCCAGTGCGCTTCCTTGAATGGTTCAAATCAGGGGACAGGTAGTATTTTTGACTTCGTGGGCCAGATGGTCTCTTTCCCAACTACTCAAACATAAACCAATGGGTGTGGCTGTGTTCCAACAAAAGTTTATTTAAAAAAAACAGGAGGCGGGCCATAGTTTGCCCAACTCTGTTTCAAATGAATCACCAGCAAGCCCTTCAACTCAGTCCTAGAATCCTTGCCTGGGGCCTAAGGGAAGATTTATGTTTTGCAGCAAGGTCTTGAATTCAGAGAATTTGATAAACTGGTTATGAGATGGCCTCTGATAATAATCATACTATCAAAGTGCTTTCGGTGGAAGGGGGAGTCTGGAGTCAGATGAGTGTTCCAATCCTGGCACCACCATTGACTCATCTGTGTGACCTTGCGGCAAGGGTCTTGATCCGGGTGAGTCTGGGTGTCCGCGTTGGGCAGGATGCCGCTGCCTACGTCACAGTGCTGTGGTCAGGATTGAACACGATGATGCAGGTGAAGTGTTTGGCACAGTGCCTGGCCGGTGTTAGGAGTTCATTAAGTGGGAGCTATTGTTATCTCTTCTAGGCCTCACTCTAGCCCTGAGGAGTGGGCAGGGCAGCCATCATTGTACCCAATTTATATGGGGAAACAGGCTCAAGGAGGTCAGGTTGCTTGTTCAAATTCACAGAGCCACTAATTGGTGAGTCAAGCCTCAAATCTGGGGCTGTCCTCAGCTCGAGTCAGCAGCTGTTATGGTTTGAATGTGTTCCCCAGATTTCATGTGTTAGAAACCAAATCCCTAAATTTATATGTTGGTGGTATTTGGAGGTGGAGTTATTAGGAGGTAATTAGGATCAGATAAGGTCATGGGGTGAAGCCTCCATGATGGGACTAGTGGCTTTGTAAGAAGAGGAAGAGAGACCTGAGCTGGCATGCTCTTCTTACCCTCTTGCCATGTGGTACCCTCTGCCATGTTATGGTGCAGCAGGAAGGCCCTCACCAGATGCCAGTGCCATGATCTTGGATGTCTTAGCCTCCAGAACTGTGAGATAAATAAACTTCTTTATAAATTACTCAGTCTGTGTTATTCTGTCATAACAGAACACAGACTATGACAGCTGCCTTGCTCCTGCTAGGGGGCCGCTTTCCCAACCCTGAATGTGTCTCAGCCACTGGAAACTTCCAGTCTCCTAGACAACCCATAATGCCTCTCCAGGGACAGCTTAGGCCCTCAGCATTTCCCCTTGCAGCAGCCTTAGCTTGGGCAGCAGGCAAGGAGCCTCTCCAGGGGTGCTAAGTGCTTGTCAACAACCCCTGATCCGGGGACCCTGGGCTGAAATTGTGAAGCCAGGCATGCGTCTCAGGACACCTGCCCAACCCTCATGGTTCCTTTCTACAAGAGGCCAGGGACCCAGAACCCTGGGTTCCGGTTCTAAATCTGCTTCTGCCCAGGGTTTGCTGGCCAGCTTAGCGACTTCTCTCCTTGACCTTTCTGGGCCTCAGCCTCCTCACCCACCCGGGCCACTTGGGTGGGTGGGTGCGTGCAAAGCACCTCCTGTGAATAGGGCATTGTTGGGGTCCCAGCAAACAGTGGGGGTGCTTCAGGCTGCCCTCCGGAGGGAGTCCAGGGTCTGCCACAGGGACCTGTAGGGAGACGTTTTGGGAGAAGAATCGAACACATGACAGGAAAATGGGAACCTAATCCAGGGAGGAAGGCCACTGCTGCGTTATATGGGTCTATGTGAGCTTCTCTTAACCCC